ACACCCCAAATGCAGTTGCAGTCTAAAACTGATTACAAAAGCAGAGAAAGGGGAAGAAAGAGATGTATATTCCACCCACCTTATGAGTTTCTGGCATTCTTGCTTTCAAACATATCCTTAGACAATCTCACATTATTAGTCACTGTAACTATAAAGAAATTGGTTTAGATCCTAACCTTTTTTTTTTTTTTTTTTAAATTAAATTTACTGTTTGAACAGGACACCAATTTTGCTGCCATTCTGACACTGCTTAAGCAACAAGGTCATGCCTGTGTTTGTCCTCAGTGTTTTTGCATTTGCCAGTGTGAATCCCCAGTAAATTATGCAAAGTGTGGTAAAACATTTTCTTATCTCTGGAAGAGGAAGGAGGGGAGGGATACTGACGAACTGTGCTTCTGAGTGGTATCACCTATACCACCCATGCAAGTAAAATGAATTAAATAGGACCTGTGCTGGGAGATAAATTACTTTTAAAACTTAACTCAGCTAATGTGAATCTCAGGAAGGAATAATACTTATTTTGGCTTTTAAATTTATTTTGGCTTAAACCAATTCCTAATCAAATTCAGCTAACTTAGAAAGATCTTTAATCATGCTAATGTGGTTTTGTTATAGACAGCCTTTAGCCGGAGTGCAGGAGCTCTCTGAGGAGAGACAGCAGCTAAGCTAAGTCATTTTCACAAATGAATTGCACAAATATTAATGCAGAATAAAAAAGGTACAGTTAAGACAATCTCTCCACAAAAAAAAAGACTGAGATAAAAATAAATAAATAAATAAATAAATAAATAAATAAAGGTAGATTCCTGATAAGGTGTGCATGGTACCATTTTGTAGAGGAGAGAGCACGTGGCTGTGCTGTGCTATTTGTTGTGGTTTGAGCCCAGAGGGCAACTGACCACCACACAGCCGCTCATTCACCCCTTCCCCCCCAGTTCTGGGAAGGAGAAAATGAAGTAAAAGGCTCAGGATTTGCGATAAGGACAGGGAGGGATGACTCACCTATTACAGTCATGTACAAAAGACAGACTCATTAAGGGAAGAAAAAGAACATCAATTTAATTCAAACACTAACAACAACAACACTTGATAGACAGAGCAGGATAGTGAGAAGCATTACCACACCTTAAAAACACCTTCCCCCCACCCTTCTCTTCTTCCCAGGCTCAGCTCTGCTGCTGATATCTCTGTCTTCTCCCCTGCAGTGGCACAGGGGCAGGGAATGGGAGTTAGAGCCAGTCCTGCCACTTCTTTTCCCTCGGGGTATGGGGAACTCCTGGATTTCTTTCTCTACTCCAGCGTGGTTCCCCTCTCACAGGAGACAGTCCTCCACAAACTTTCTCCGATGTGAGTCCCTCCCACAGGCCGCAGCTGTTCCTGAGCTCCTCTGGTGTGGGTCCCTCCTGGGTGTTGCAGTCCTCCAAATGCCTCACTAGAACAGTGGGGGCTTCTTCTTCCCACAGTCCTGGCTGTCTTTGGGTATAATCACCTGCTCCACTCTGGCCAGCATCTGCTCTACCACGGACCTCCAGGGGTGGTGGGGAAGTGGCCCTGCTGTCTCACCATGGGCTGGAAGGGGCTCTCTGCTCTGACACACCTCTTCCCCTTCGTCCTCCTTTATTCTACTGACCTTGGTGTTTGCATAGGTGTTCTCCTTGCAACTCCTTCTCATAACTCTGACTCCTTCTCCCAGGTTCCTCTTCTTGAATACATTATCGCAGAGGTGCAGCCACCATTGCTGATTGGCTCGGCCCTGGCCAGAGGTGGGTCTGACTTGGAGCCAGGGGAGCTTCGAGAAGCTGCTCACAGGGGGCCACCACTGTAGCCCCCTCCCCTGCTACTAGAAACCCCACCACACACACAAACACAGCACACTATGGCAGACTGTCCAGTAAGAACTGTATGTTGCAAATATCTTGGCACCGATCAACTTGAAACTACCCATGAATCACTGATGCTTCATGTTGCTGGGTGTTCTGCCTTTTCTTCTGCGTGTTACAGTCCTTAGGATCTTGATACAAGTGGTTTTTTGGTTGGTATTCATCCGACAACTGAATCATTTGAAAAGTTTTCATCATTCTCCCTCCTGTGTTGGTTTACTGAGGGGATGACCCGAGTCAGTGCCTTTTCCTGTTAAGGTGTCAGGTAGAAACGCATCTTCCTTCAAATGTTGAGGTGGTTGAGAACCCATACGAGGGTATGTAGGTCAGAAGCTGTCTGTATGAAAGACTCCAGGCTATAAACATGAAATAGTATTTCCTTTTTACTGCCTGTACAACATGCTAGTCTTTGGATTTAATTCTAACCTCTTCTTTATTGTCCTGGTTTCAACTCGGATGGAATTAGTTTTCTTCCTACTAGCTGGTACAGTGCTGTGTTTTGGATTTAGTATGAGAATAATGTTGATAATGCACTGGTGTTTTAGTTGTTGCTAAGGAGGCATATCCTAAGTCAAGGACTTTCCAGTTTCCCATGCTCTGCCCGTGAGGAGGTGCACAAGAAACTGGGAGGGAGTGTGGCCAAGACAGCTGACCTGGACTAGCCAAAGGGGAGTTGGTCGTGAGGGGACAATTGGTGCTTGGGGACTGGCTGATGAGCAATTGCACTGTGCATCACTTGTCTTTCTTGGGTTTTATTTATATATTATTATTATTACTACAATTATTATTATTATTATTATTATTATTATTATTATTATTATTATTATTATTATTATTATTATTATTATTATTATTATTATTATTTTCAAATTATTAAACTGTTCTTATCTCAGCCTATGAGTTCTACTTTTTTTCTGATTCTCCTCCCGTCCCATTGGCGGGGCAGGGAGGAGCGAGCCAGTGGCTGCCGTGGCGCTTAGTTGGCGGCTGTGATTAAACCATGACAGCATCGTACTATTACAAAGCCACAGTCAGTATGGAGGGACAGCACTCTTATTGACCATAATGTGAAACCAAAATTAGGCATTTCATTTCCTGCTGGTTATATTTATCTGTGTACTACAAATTTGGCAAAAACAGCCAACAGATAGAGATTTCTATCAAACCATATAATTTAAGATTAAATTATCTAAATTGGCAGTTTGTTTTATCTGAAACATTTTAATTTAGAAAAAAGTATATTAGACTTTTCATTGTCAAGTCTGTTACATGTGTGACTAATAAAGACCAACAAGTTGATCCAAGAATTTACAATTTAAATAGCTGAGATTAATCTTAAGAAGATTTATGAGAAAGCTGATTTGGAATGTTATATTATATAAATAAACAGTGACAGATTTTTATGGGTAGTACACTTAGGAAATGACTACAAAATAAACTAGGACATTGTAATATTCAAAGTTAAGCAATATAATTCAAACAAATTATTCTGTTATTTACTGGGAACCATATGTTCACATGTCACAACCTATTTAAGTATTTATATTTTAGTCTATGCTAGGCAACTAGTTTCTTAATAAAGGGGCTCACAAGGTCAAAGGTGAAGAGTGATACCATGTTGCCAGTGCTCTGCAGTAGATAGGTAAATAGTTTCAATTATAAACAGTACAATTTGATTACCAATTTTTGTATCAAACATACTTTCCCTACCTAAGATGCTGTTAAAAATGTGCCTGTCAGAAAACTAAGCAAGGAAAAGACCTCAATAAATTATATTTTCTAGTTTATATACGAAACCCAGATATATAGCACTTAAATACTTGAAAATGAGATCTTAATCTCTTAACCTACAGGTGTTTAGTATTTCTGAAAATTAAGTCAGTTTAATTTTCCATAAAGTAATCATAACTTGCAGCATTTCTAATAAGAACCATGTTTAACATTTTACGGAGTAACTATACAAATATAATTTGTGCCTGAAACAGCCTGCCACTCAGGTACTGCTGAACTTGTTCTGAAGAAAAAATTTGTATAATCCTCAAATTTACAGAAATTGTAATCTCTTAAAAAGACCAAGAAGTTAGTGTAATAGAATGGCAACATTTATAAACCACTGTACCTTGATTGTTTCACAATATTAACTTGAAATTATTATTTTTAGTCCAGGGTTTCCATTGCCTGACATTGACAGTACTCTGAGGGTAGTACTCAATTTGGAAGGTATGAGTTATAAGCTCCCATGAAGTTAATTGATAATACATTATTCTCTATGATGATGATATATTATTTTAATGGACCTGGCAAATTTTTAAAGGAGGTTGTATATTTATAAACATACTTTACATACAAATCTTACTTTGTACCTGCTAAAAACAAAACCACAGACTGAAGAAGAATTTAACATTTAAGATATTTGCATACATTTTTCAAGCATACCTAAAGGATTTAATGATGCGTTCCATTTTCAACAAATTTAGCACCTGAATGATGTGCTGTCTTAATTTGACTCAGGATCAGTTACTGTTTATGGTTTCGGCCTAGATGTAAGGTAGACACAGTCTGAAATTCAATTAAAGGTACTGAAATAATGTAATACCTTAACTGTGCATCTGAGCATAATTACTGAGTTTCAGTTACTTTTAAAAACCCAGTTGAGAAGGGCAAGTTTACACCAGCAGGTGTGAGTTAAGCATCTTACCATTAAAATCTTATCATTTTACCAAAGAAATGTGATTAGCAGTGATCACAAAGATGTGCCAGCATGGACCTTCAGCAGTCCTCAGAGACGCTTGGACTAGAGGGACCTACAGGATCCCAACATCTGCGTTGGTAGCACAGCTCCTGCAGGCTACGCCAGATCTAGCTCAGGCACGCTCACCCACCCTGAATGCACATCTTTTAATTGCACTGTAACATGATCAACTTCTCTTAGAGATTGGAAAATATCTTTCCACTTCTTCCCAGTGAATAATGATTCATTCAACTTTTAGGTCCAAAGGTCTTTGACAAATAAATAAAAGCAAGATGAGGTCTTAAACAAATAAATAAAAGCAAGATGAATTAAGGAAGTACTTTATTATAAAAAGAAAAAAAAAGAAACATTTCACAAGATGAACACTTACACAAGTAATAAAAATGTAGAAAACATTTCCCTGTATTTATAATTATGTAACTTGCATTTTCATAGAAATTTTATTCACAGCCCTTTTTTTTGCTGAAACCAAACTAGGCTTGTTTCCTTACAACCATATGGAAGCTCTTGAGTTAGCTCACAGCTGAAAAATGTAGTTTTCCATGGGACATATTGTATGCTGAGTGATTGAATCTAAAAGAAATAAAAAAGCAGGATTATTTAAGATAAAATGAAAAAGAAACAGATTATAAAGCAACAGTGTACTTCAGAGCAATTTCTGGTATAGAACAGTTTGATGGAGCTGAGAACTCAGAGAGAGAAAATAAATGCAAACAGTCAAATGGTAATACCATGAGTACATACCATTTATATAAGTTTAAAAAAGGTGCTACATTACCTACCTATATGCTTTTTATTGTGGTCAGCCTTGAGTGAATTAGTTGGCAGCTGGTACTAATAGCAGAAAGCAGAGCCACAAACCAACTGTATTGCAGCAGTGAAGTGTCAAAGATCAGACAAAACTTCAGCTCTGATTTGATTTATTTGATTAAGATGGCAATTTATAGGTGACACTCTTCATAATATTATGTGAACAGTTGCTGAGAAGGAGGCTGAGCTTCAAAGGCCTGTATCCTTCCTTTAAATTAAGTATCATATAGAAATACTTTTTTTTTTTTTTTTTTTCCCCCAGGTTTTGATGATTCATCATTTAAAATCCATTAGCCAGAGCTCGTGTAAGAGTGGCTCGTGAGCAGGACGTAACTATTAGAAAGGGTACAATCGGACTGCAGAAGAAAACTGAGGAATCTGTAAAGGGCACAAAGAATTCAGAGTCCCTTTTCATTAGCAGCCAGATATGCAATTCTTTTAGCCCACTGATGGGCTGAGCGTGGCCCGCCCAGCTGCAGGTAGCTGATGAGATACTGGGCCTGGGTGAGGCAAACTCCATGAGACCAGTAAAAGAGTGGGACATGCCACATGAGCTGCATGCTTCTTTAGATCACTACCTTTGTCCACCTAGAATTTATGACTGGAGTACTACTATGTGAAATTTCTGCATTTAATTTACTACATCATATTTTTAGTCTTGCATAAATCTGTGGATTCTTCATCTGGTCACTTCTTTTTGGCCACATTTGCTCTTTAAGTCTTTTCTGAAACCAGAGAAAGGCACAATAAACAATGCTTTCTTCTTATGCCTCTCTTGTAAATCTTCACAATTTTATCTTATAATTTAAGAAAGTATCAATTAACATTTGCATTTAGATTAGTATTTTTCCCTTATGGCTCACTTTTTCTTTCTTCTTTAGTGGATTTTCTTTCAGGTTTTAAGTCATTATGATCTGATAGCATTAACGGTCAAGAGATTATGACTTGCTTGGCTAGTGTCATAAAACATCAGTTCATGTAGTACATTTATTGCTAGAGTCTGAGTGAGGCACTATTTAGAGGAGTTTGGCATAGAGTATGATGAAAATGTAATAATTTTTTTTTAGTATGCAAAAGGTGCCTTTTAGGAAAATACCCTTATCTTATCTGAAAAAGAGAGAATGTCAGACTGGAAGCTGCGAATCCTACATAGATTATCAAAAGCTTTACTCTGAGGGTGTGGATATTGCTAATTTACATCTGATTCCCTGCAAACAGGTAATTGTTAGAACCGTAGTGTCCATCATGGAAAAGCAATAGACTGACAATTCTGAGAAACGTAACAGCAGCTTTTAAAAAGAAACTTTTTGCAAGTGAAATAGAGACTGCAAAAAATTGTCTTTCAGATGTAGAATACATAGTTCAGGACAGATTATCAGAGGGTGCCAGTTACCTTTCTTACTACATCTAAAATTGAAATACATGCCATTTTTAAAAGTAGTTATCCTATGAGGGTTTCCCCATAATTTACTTTGCTCTAAATTAAACAATCATACAAAAGATACATTTTAAAATCCTTGGATGAAATTTGTTCTTGGTAAAATTACAGTGGTGAGTACCAGGACCATCATAAAGCAGTCTTAGTTGTAAAAGAAAGTTCTCACCATGGGGACAACTTTCCTGGAAACCTACCTGTAGCAGTCTATTCCATTTTCTTCCCTCTACAACATCAGTTCAGTCAACTATGTTCAGTCAATTTTTGAATAAATACTCAACAATATTTTATATGAGTTGAAATTTGGTGTCTTACCTAATACCCATTTTTCCGATAAACATTTTATTTCCTGGTACGTATTTCCTGGTTTTTTTCCTATACAGATTTTTGCCTGACGTAAAGCTTTACATATTTTCCCTCCTGACAACTGTATAAGTTCAGTTAGCTTTTTGCAGGGTGGCTGGCTGGTAGGAGATACAAACATGACAGGCTGGTTTGAAAAGAGATTGTGCTGGTATTTTCCTTTCGATAGGTAACGTTGAAGTCTGCAGATCTGTATTTGAGGAAACAAGGAAATTAATTAGCCAATGTGTTGCATTTCCATTCAAAGTAAAACTAATCCTTGTCTTCTTTAATTCAGAAAAAAATTAATTATAGTAAATGTGTATGAGCTTTACTTTTTCAGGTGTATCAGAAACTCTTGTGTAAACTATACAAAGAATTGCCTGTACTTGATCAATACATTCCCAAACCAGAGTTGAGACTATTTCGTTATAGGTCAGATGGTTTACCTATAAAACTTCATAAAGCACTTGACAGTATTATTTTTCACCATAATCTCACATTCGTACATTTATAACACTGGCCATCACACAGAAATATTGAAGGATATTATAAATAATTAAGTCTTGCAGCACAAATACAAACTGGGAAAGCCTTTGCTATATATGTAATGCTCATCAGTTTGTATCAGGGAGCTTTACAAACATATCTAATTCAGGGTTTAAACTACTTTAGGACCTTTTTCCCCTCCTGTGCTCCACAGATACAAGCTGTTTTTTCTCTCAGATGTATTAAGTGACACAAGTGTACCAGAACTGAGCGAAGAGTTTCAAGCTCTTTTGTCTCCACATAAAAAAAAAAACAAAACAAAAAAAGAAGTCCTCTGTGAATGCTGTGCAGCTGGTAACACTTGATCATTATAATAAAAACCTGCTTGATCAGGTTGCAGATTTTCTTCTTTGTATATACCAGGCAGGACAGTGATCCAGCAATTAAAACCATCTCTTTTAGCTATAATGTGCATAAAAGCAGTGCATACAACAAGTGTACACACCATGGTACACAATATGAAGTTTTCATACTACAATTAAAAAAAAAGCAAGCTAGTATTTCTTAGAGTGAAGTTTCCATTTACCTGCCAAATTAATGTATGTAACATGTCCAATTCTGGTTCCTTTGTCAAAGTTTGGAAAATTTATAATGAGACTGGAGTTAATAGTAAGATGAGGACAAAAATATATGTTTCATAATATGTGATGCTTGGAATTTTTTATACAGATGATCAACGTGAGCACATTACATAGAGGAAAGGTCATTCTGTATGTGTCTGGCTTATATGAGACATCTGAATGTGAAAATGTAGTCAGTGAGGAGGTGTAACTGGAGCAGTGGAAGAAATTATTTGTTGAGTGGTTTCCTTACTCCAGCCCTGGTACAAACCTGCTATGAAACCATAGGCACTTAAGAATTTAATGCAATAATACATATGCTTGGCAGATGTGCAGCCAAAGTAAGAGTCGTCACCTGGTTTACAGGTGTTTATAAAGCCAAACAGTTTCTTGACATGTTCACAGATCCCTAGATAAAAGTCAAAGTGAGTTACCTTAGCTCTTCAGATCAATTAGCTAGGTGAAGCACCTGCAAAGCGTGAAGCCCAGACTGATGTGAAACTTCATAGCTCAGTGATTCTGTGCTCTGCTATTCTTGGACAACGCAATCCCAATCTAAATTTCAAGATCTCCTCCATCGATAAATAATTCAATTTCTCTGATTATTAATTCCTTGGCTGCTATCCTAAGAATAAAGTTGATTGTTTATGTTCTGAATTCAGCAAGTTATAAAGACAGTGACTGCTATGGATGAAGCAGGCCAAAAAGGCTCAAGCACCATCCAAGAAATGCCCTTTATTTTCTATTCTTCTGTGAATTTAGGTTTATGAATGACATGGCATCTAATCCTGTCTCACAGAAGTCAAACAGCTGCTAAGTAATTCTGCTGATCACAGTATCAAAACAGAGTTATAGTGCAGATTTTGGAGGACCCAAACTCATTGAATATATCTTATGGCCCTTCCTGTACATAAATTGGCACCTGATATTTTACTCAAGTGCAGAAGATCTGGTTTTGGACTTTGTAGAGTAGAGCCTACCTCCATCTGAGCAGAATGCTCTTCTATGACTATCTTTCTGCTGGGCATCTTGATGTCACAAAACCCAGAAAACTAAACATTGTACAGTTTTATATGGTATCAGGTTTGGAATTCACTAAGACTACCACTTGCTGATGGGTCTTGTGAGGCTTAGAGACCACGATCAGTGTCTTAAAATGGGACCACCTCAAGAACATAAACCACTTTGCAATCTCTGATGTACAGTGCAGCGTCATGATTTTGGTATTGCTAGGACTGCAATCATTCATTTTAATGAATTAAAAAACCTGCAGTTGTGAAACTACAAAAGTGCTTGTGGTAAGCAAGGTCATCAAATTAAAGAATGCGCTATAGTGAAAAATAACGATCTCTTCACATCAACCTCAGAACAACCCCATGACAGATGAAATGCCATTATAGTTGGTCTGACACACCTCTCTGGAATTGTTTATTTGCACAAATGCGATGCAAATGATAGAAGACAGACAATTACCAAGAGACTTTAATGCTAGTTTATCTAAAATAAATAAGATTTAACTAAAAAAGACAGAAATTACACTGTTTTTGTCAACCTGGAACCTGGAAGATGACAATTATTAGGACTGAGAAGCTTTTATCTTAAAAATTCAATAGGACTTGTGTTAGAAGACATCAAATATAAATTGTTGCAATCTGCTATTTCACATATTTTAGGAAACATGATTTAAAAGGGCTAATTGTATTCTCACTTTCTCCATTGTTTCCCCTGCAAGGATTGATTTGCTGCCACTGTAATGAATACTCAATTATACGATACATCTTGCTATTGCAAGAGCTATTGGATTAAATGAATAACAAAAGCAAATGTGTACACAGCTAATCATCAAATCAGGAAATCCAAATTTTAAGGACCAAACAGCACTCACCTCAGCTGATGTCCACAAATAGCATGCTTTATTCTGTATATTTAACGCATATTAAGAGAACCCAGGAAAGTGAAATGCTGACATGCTATAGAGAGGATTTTTCTTAAACTGCCTTTAAAATTCTACCTGTGTGCATTATCAGTGCATTTCAGAGGACAGGGTAATAACACAGTACATCTTGGTGGTATTGTCAAAGGAAAGCTTCAGCATGGAACATCATTATGTTTCCTTTGCCTGGATCACCACTACCACAGATTTCCTGACAGGCTGTGCTTGGATTTGCTTAAGCACACTGGGTCCATGTGCAGGTCTTAGAGATGGGGAAAAATCACAGCATTTACGTTCAGAGCTGAGAGAGTAGTCTGAAAGGTTAACTTTGCTTTCTGGCCCACTAACCTGAAAGACACACCACTAGCCAGCTGCTGAAGAGGCCCAGCTGACCACACAGGGTTTGGCGGTGGGATGAGAGGGCACAATCAAGCTCTTACCCCTGAATTGACTCAGCTGCCTTTGCAACATCAAAGCCTTCGTGGCACTCCAGGGGTGCTCCCAGCCCTTTGAAACCATACACATTTCATGTAAGCTTTTGCAAATAAATAAATAATTCCTCAGCAGAGACCAAGCCTGGGAAAATATTAGACCCCAAAAGTGACTATTTCCACAAATTGTGTATGTATCAGTCAATAGTTACAAATACAATTGTGTCTGTCCCTATTACAACAGACAGCACTGATTTTTCTTTCTAATTACATTAGTTAGGAGATGGACCCAAAATGTTATAAAAGCATTTATTTACTCTTTTTGGTAATATACTAAGCGTTAACCTCATTTTTTCACTAGCTGGATGAACAGCAAGAAGATGCATTTTCTATGTATGCATTTCTCATAAATGTAACATTAATTTAGATGTTTCTTTGAACCGAAGTTTTGAAAGGAAAAAAGTTTCATTCTTGACAGAAATAAAACTTATGGAGAATGTATGATAAAGAAATAGAGCCTTTATTATAAAAAAAACCCACAAAAACATTTCACCTACTGTTGTCTCACCTGTGACTGATTTTCAATCCCCACAAACCAAAAGAACATAAGTTATAAAAAAGCAAAAACTTTGCAGCTTTGCCTAGAACTTTATGAAAGTAGTTCCTGCTGGGTGGGGTGCGGGAACAAACTCAAAACTAAAAGTCCAAGGGTGTGATCTTTTCATGGGGCTCAGGAGATAGCCATCAAGTCCCACAAAGGTATTATCTCTGAACAGATACCTGAATTCACACGATGGAAAATTTAAGAAAATAATATTTCTGGAGGCACTTCGAATTTTTTCACCATTGAAACTGCTAATGTCCTATATACAGAACACAATTTTCAGTGTACTTCCAGAAAATAGCACATGAAGTGCTGTAATTATATCTTGGTTACTGTTACTCACAAAAAAAAAAAACCCTAAACATTTTATTAAATGCAAACAGCAGAAGATAAAATTGCAGACACAAGTTTGAAGAGAGAAGATTGTATATTTTATGGTTTATATCTATGCTGAGACCGAGCATTATTGAATTTGAAGTTGATGAGAAATCGCTCATTTTCAGTAAAAGGAAAAGGATCTGACTGTTGAAGCCTTACCAATTAATTCACCACTCTGCAACTATTAAATGACACAAAACCAGAAAATTGATAAAGCCAAAAAACCAGACTTTATGGTTTGATAATGTACAAATTTAACAAAAAGAGGCACAGAAAATAGCATATTCATTTAATATAGTTGGGTGATGTTGCTGGGGAAAAATTAAGCTCTAGGATGTTAACATTCATATTATTTCAGTATGGATAAATATACTGGCCAAGTAATGTTTACATTTTCAGTTACTGTAATTCTGTACAAAGACTTTGTGAAGAATGCACTCGAAACCCCAACACTGTTAGGAAACATTACACTTGCATGGTTATATGCATTTTCAGACAGTCTGTCATTTAGTAAAAATTTAAAAGAAAAACACATATGTGGAACCCTATGTACATGTAAAGATCAAGGGCTCACACACATCCACACAAGTGGAGCATCAGCCTGCTTCTGATAAAGAGGAGCATATTGCAGCGTGCAGACTTCTGAAAGTACAGTTACCCTGCAGTGAGGAATTTGCAGAATCTGCAGGACCTTACAGGGATCAAGGAAGTTTGTGTCAACAATGCAGTACTCCTGCAGGACAAAGAAGAAATGTT